GTGTCACATGGAAAGAAACTATATGAGGATATATGCGCATATATGAAACCTATATGCAGTTTATATGCACATATATGCTGGCATATATACAGCATATATTCACATATAATGATAATATATATGCTGCATATGTGTGTATATATGACAATATAGGCAATTTTAGGTGCATATATGCACATATATGATAAGATATATGCTGCATGTGTGTGTATATATGGACACATATAGGCATTTTAGGTGCATATTTGTGCATATACAGGCCATATACTGTAGGTCTCCTGCATTGCTTCTTTATATCCACACATAAGTGCTTATATACAAGAGTATCCATACTGTAGCTCATGGCAGGATCTGGTCATTTGTAGCTCATCCACTCTAAACAATGCTGGGTTGTTTGAACCCAAATTTGGGTGAAATATGGACAAACCCAAATGTTTGGTTAAAATGTAATTTCAAATTTTAAACCCAAATTCAACTTTCACTGTCACTTTTTCAACTGTACATTTTTTTAATTGCATTTTTAACCCAACATTTGGGTTTGTCCATGTTTGACCCAAAGCATTTTTAGAGTGTATATGTCACTATATTGCTCAAATAAATAAATAAATATTTACATATCAGAATGAATTAGTGGAAAAGAAGGAAATGTATAACAAAAGGGTTTGTTGTTTTTTCATTTTACCAAAAAGCCCTTTTTCCAATTTCAAGTCACTTTCCCATACACATCCACACATTCACCGATACATCCACCAAATGCAATGCAAATTGCAATGTTTTCTGTATTGTCTGAATGCAGTTTTTTTTTCTGGCTGAGATCATTACAGTCAAAAAAAAAAAAAAAAAAAAAAAGTGAATAGAACGTACATTCAAATAATAATCATCATCCCACCATCTATCTGAGCAATTCACAGTGGTTAATAAATTCGAATGCTGCTGCACTGCCGATTGGCCGCTACAGCGCCCCGTAGTTGATGACGTCACCCGCCTAACGCTTGACGTTATCCGTATCCGATGAGATGAAGTCAAGTTTCGCGCCGGAAGATAACGGCTGGGAGTAAAAATTGCGATTTCAGCATTGGAGATCCTCTAAGTCCTACTTATCACCAATCGTAAGTATTCCTAATTTTATATTTATTTGCAGGGTGGAAATTGCGGTGGCAGAGAAGTATAAACTTAGCATTTATTTTTTGCCAAACACACCTGTTTCAGCCCATACACTTCCTATGTTGTTAGCTGGTGAGGTAACGTAACGTTACTGTGTGGTGCTAAAATAACTTAGCCGTTGATAAGATTCAATTTAGAATTAACGTGTATTTATTTGTTTCTTTCTGGAGGAAATTCGTAGAGGGTTAACAAAAGTCATGGCCTAGAGAACATAACGTCATGAGAATAAATGATACTTCTCTGCCAACGGCTCAAGAAGGCAATCGGCTCCAGAAAAAAAAAAAAAAAATACCCTGTGGAGTTTGAATTTGGTCGAAATTGGTGAAAGAAAGAGCCGTATCATGGCTTGCCTTTACAGTTGCAGGAAATGTCTTTCAAATAGTAAACATTAACGTTAGGGCATTACTATTTTGATTAAGTGATTGTAATTGTTTTTTTTTTCTTCTTTATATAACCTCTTTCTAGAATTACCTCAAATGAAAAGTTACCTCGCCATTATTGCTCAAAAAGGTAAGTTCCTCTGATTTTGCTTTTTAAAATTGTTTCTCTAGCAGAGCTGTAGAGACTTGGTGATGTTGGGCTGATTGATAGTGTTAATTATTGATTTAAGTATTTGCACTTTAATTTATTGAAGAGAATAACTTTTATTTTTCTTCTATGAACAAGACTGGAAGGAGTCCTGTTGAGGATTTAGATTCCTCCTCTTTTGAAAAGTGCAACCGGTGAGTAACCCCCTTGAATTTTTATTTATTTATTAATAAATATCCCCATCCCCACCCGACACCCTATCTTCCTCCTCCTCTCCTTTAAGAACATTTAGGGCAATTATTAATTTGTTTCATATTATTATTTTTGTGTAATATTATTATTTTGTTTCTTTATCATTAATCTGCATTCATACATAAAAACATATAAACTATTGGGAAGCTAAGCATAAGAATCAATATGAAACAATGCCAATAAATGAATAAATTATTTTTCAGATTGAAGTTATAAAGGGCTCTGGGGTGTTTTGCCAGGCAGAAGTGTGGAAAGCAGCCCTCCTTGCCACCTCTGCTACTGCCATGGTGTGGAATCTGCTGCTGGGCACATTTGATCTGGAGACTTTGCTGAAAAACAACCTGAATGGTACAAAACATTCTTCCTAATCTCTTCTGTCCGTAAAAAACAATTAATATTCTGTGGAATAAATTATGTTTGTGAACGGGCATACCATCGCTTTTTTACTTGCCATTTTTGTATTTCCTTGCACCTCAAGAAAATGTGATGTGTATATAAAAAAAGTATTGCTTTCACAAGCTTCATTTTAACCCCCTTTTATAATAATTTTGAAATTTTACTTTAAGGTGGGAAGCCAACCAGAGGGATGGGGAGCAGCTGGTCGCCCTTGACCAAATTAAAAAGGCATCATTATTGGTGAGTAAATGTATAAAAGTTTTGTTTTCCCTTCTCAACGCATTAGGATTTTATAAGTTCACCACTTTAACCATAGCCTACTTGTATCAATGTTTATTAGGCATCAATTGAGACTGTATAAGGGATTATTGTTACTATATCTACTTGGAACCTATAATACTAATTCATCGCTTGCTCAGTTCTTGATCCTAACTTTCCTTTTCTTAAGCCACGTTTCAGATTTTTCAGAATCTTCAGAATCTTCCAATTGACATGTTTACATGACGCATTTTTTAAAATGATCAACCTTTTATCAAAAAATATGTGTCTGATCACATCTGTACTGTAAGCACTTTGGGTTCCTGATGAAGTACTATATTCTTCTTCTTCTTCTTCTTCTTCTTCTTCTTCTTCTTCTTCTTCTTCTTCTTATTATTATTATTATTATTATTATAGTGTCTTATTATTTTTGTCTTCTCTAGATGCTACATTGAAGAAGGTCAGCCAGCCGAGGGGAGATGGGCACGTCTATCAATTCAAAGCTCATGGAGCTGAGAAGATCAAAAAGATTTTTTTTTCTATCCAGTTTTTTTGTCTTATTTTTGTTTTTGTACTATTTGATCTTAAGTAAATAAATAATCTAAATGCATACATTTTGGACTATTATTTATGTTGCCTAGTAGCTATGGATTTTAATAATTATTCTAATATAGGTAAACATGTTGGTGCATGTATTGGTGAACATATATGTTCATATATACATGCATACATGTACTTATATAGGTACATATATGCATGTATATATGCACCTATATGTGCACATATATGCGTGCATACATGTACATATATAGGTTCATATATGCACAAATATATGCACCTATATGTGTACATATATGCGTGCATACATGTTCATATATGCACCTATATGTGTACATATATGTGTGCATACATGTACCTATATAGGTGCGTATATATGTGTACATATATGCACATATATATGTACATATATGTGCATATATGTACATATAATATAGGAAAACGGCCAATTTTATATATGTCACATATATTAAAAACATATATCAAAACCTATATTAAAACATATATGTTTATATAGGTTTTTTCCATGTGGGTGGTTTCAATGGCAAAATATCTGCTCTTCATCAGACTGTTGTGAGAGATGGACAGTCTCTGATGCTCAACATGTGAGATTAAAAAAGAAAGAAAGAAGCCAGAAAAAAAAAAAAAAGAAAGAAAGCGAGACCGATTCGGCATTCAGCAAAACGCAGACGGGTTAAATCTGGAAGCGTGACAAAAATGTGTCCAGCCTAATGATGTCAACTAGTGTTCTCTCTGCAGAGTGTGCCTTCCTGCTTTCTCTCTCCTTCTCATTCTCCTAACTGCTGAGAAAAGCAAAGTTCTGACACAAACACACTGTCATGTAAACACATCCGCTTTCCTTCTTCCTCCTATTACTGTAATCTCACTATCAAACACAAACACCGCTGTTCCGAGAGATGAGGCGAGAGCACGCAGAATGAATCGAGCTACACCGATTTGTTGTGTCTTTAGGCTCTAACTAGGTGCAGAGGACTGTAAGTTCTGGAGGGGAACGTGAGGGAAAGGTCACAGGGAGTTCAGAGCGAGCGGATGAGTGATGGCCGTGGAGTGAGGGGCTCTGTTGCCGGGTCTTGTACTTTTCTGTGCTGGCTGATGGGCCTCACAGCAGTAGCCCGAGTCTTGATGGATTGGCAGGCAGTGAAAGGAAATGTTGCCCCCTCCCTTTTTTACACAAACACACACACACACATACTCTCCACTATCCCATCATTCCCCCTCCCATCGCTTGAGTGAGAGATTTGCCCTCATCGTCGTCTTCCTCCTCCCACCTCCAGCTGCCCCTGGGCTGCTTAGAAGACTTGGAGAATGATGGGTAAAGGGTTTAGGGAAAAGGGTTTTGGGGGCCATCTCATGACCAGGTCAGTGGAGGAGTGCCATCATCACACAACACCCCCCCCCCCCCACCCCCAACCAAAAAGGCAGCCTGACTGGCTGGGGCTGAGCTTGAGCTTGTTGTACCTGGCTGGAGACAAAAGGACCTAGAGCAGCAGGGGTGGACTACTAAAATAAACATCAAAGGAGTGGAGGGGATGCATAGCGGACCCTTTTGTTGCCTGGAAATGGAGGGCTCCCCTGGGGGGTGTCGGCGCTAAATGAGATGGTCTGTCTCGGGCGCGCTTCCTGGTGAAATATTTTTGATAAATAAATCAGGGGCCCCGCGACACGTTAACCGATTAGCGACCAACAAGCCACGAGATAATCAGAGCGTCTTTTTTTTTTTAACCCGCCTTTACCATCCCGAATTTTCTTCCTTGTCATTTAAATAACGGCTTGCACACCGAGCCCTCCTGCTTCCTTTAGAGAGCGTCATACACATTCGAATTGTGTTCCACCTATTGTTTTCCGAACTCGCTCCCCTGGAAATAACAAATCCAGTCTGATGTGTGTCTCTGCCGTGTCAAAACAGAGCCCTGATAATGACATGAACCTAAACCTCTGGAGGTGTCTCTAGGGCTCCAGTGCTCTTCCAGCTATTAGGATTTGTTTGCTTGTTTGTTTTCTGTGTGTAGGGTCCCCATGGATGTGTCTAATTGCTCAACGTGATTGTGTAATATATTCACAGTCAAGGAGAATAGACGGGTATAATGTGTGTGTGTATCCCGAGTTCCTCTGTGAGCACTGGTATAAGTGTGTCTCATTTGTACCTTGTGTTCTAATAAATGTTAAACTGTCAAGTAACGTGTCGTGCCACATGACGCACCGTGGACCTCGTGCAAAAGAAGCGATGCAACAATAAGACAAAGCCACTCGGTGAGATTTGTGTACTGTTACCACATATGTCGAGTGTGGGAGGTTGTGTCTGTGTGTGTGCATCTGCATGTGTGCACCGCACCGATTAAAACTGCTTTGCTAGCAAACTATCGCGAGCGTGAGATTGTGTGTGCGCGTCTGCGTACGTGTGCGTGCACTCAAGCGTTTGAGATGGTGGCGGTGAAGGGAGGGCTTCTGGGGAAGAGATGATTATGCCCATCTGTGGTGGATGCCAGGTGTGTACTCCCCACCCCCACCCCTTCCCTTCCCATTCCTCCCCTCCATCCCGGTGACGCTCCACTCCACTCATCACCCTCCATCAGCGCGCTCCAGCTGCCAGCCACCATGCTAACTAGTACCAAGGGGCGCTAGCATGCCTTCACAGATTGCACTTGCCATTGAAACCAGAGCAACTCTGCAGTCTATAAAAGCGCAACTGGATGAGACACTGCCCAACAGGGCCTGACACCTGCTGTGGCCATGGACTTCCTCTCGGCGCGGCTGGCCTGCGAAAACTCATAAAAGCAAGCCAGAGACTCTAGTGCACTGATATTGACCACCACATCAGATTTTGTTGCTGTCGATTGCTTGTTTCTTTCTGGTCAATTTAGATTCTCACCTCCAGAAACAGCAGCCTCTGTGTTCGGTCACAAGGGTGATTTCTGTGATCATTCAACTGGCGTGCGCGTGAAAGCCGCTTGATTTGCGGCAGCACCCTGTTTCTGTGAGGCTGCTGTCACCCACATAGACACACTCACGCTCACACCACGGGGCCACCACACACAGAGAAGACGTGCCTCGTAAAACACCCCGTGACGGGCTAGATTGATCCCCTGGTGAAAATGGGCAATATTCCTACTGCATCGATATCAATAAAGCGTATCAGGCTGGAGGCTGTGCAGGCCTCCTTTTTGTTTCCCTTCTGTGGTGGGTAGAGGGAGGAAAAATCCATAGACAATTGATGGTGTCTGGAAGAAAGGCTCTATTGGAGTATATCAAATCAGGCTATCGAAAAAAGGAAAGTTTGCCCTGTAAATTAGACTGTTTGCTCCAAGTTCAGTGATAAAGAGAATGGAATAGGAATGTCCTTTTTTGGCTGCGCTCGGAATGGTGTGTATCCGTACCCTTACCAAAATATGGAGCAAGCATAGGGGTTATCTAAACATTTATTGTTGATTGACATTAAAGGGAATGTTTATCCAAACATTTTAATTCAGTAACTCACCCTCATGTCATTCCAAATATGTATGTGTTTTTTTTTTTATTATGTGGACTTTAAAAGACGTCGAAGATAGTTTGAAAGGAAATGGCTAATTGTTTTGTTGGCCATACAACAAGGTTTACATGTGCAGAATCAAGCTTAGGCTCTTAGGTAGTTGAGTTACAATTATACATGACACAATGCGTAACAGAATATGTGAAGGATTAAATGCATGCTGTGTTTCACCTGTCTTTCAAAGCAAGTGAACAGCACCAAGGCTAATTGAAGTCTGATTAAAGTGTTTTCATGCTGGACAAAGCAGATTATTATACGATCCGTGCATGTTTGTTGAATTTAATTTAGACTAAAGTGTTTACATAACATAACAAGAAAAATTATATATAACTTTTAAAGCTATAATAACTTCAAACCTATTTCTGTTATCTCTTTTTCTGGGTGTGAAGGGATGGTGCCCTTCACAGAATGCTTTGTAGATGAAATCAGGCCAATCAGTAGCATAATGAGAGGTGTAATATGTCCCCCGAGAGAGAAGGAAGAGAAAATGGGGTTTATCATATTGCCAGATCCTCTTAGACTCTATAATCACTCCATAGATACCCACATATTCACTCACACACAGTGATACCCTGTACTGTGTTTTAATTTTCATCCACTTTTACCTTTCTGCATTATTTCTTGTTTCTTTGCCTTTTCAATCAGTCTCGTTCCTGTTCTGCTATCAGTGCATCTATAAGCAAACAATCCTCATGATGATTATTCAATAGCAGTGAAAACATACAGTCTAATTGTAATCTAGCCCTAATTACACATGGCTTTGTTTTCTAGGAATGCATTTCAAAGGCACATCAAACACTTTGAGTTGGGTGAAAAGTAATATTGCTGGGAACAA